ATGGAACGCACGTTCATGCTAGGGTGTCGGATAACGAGAAAGTTGCATTTATCGGTCGTTCCGTAACCACAACTCAAAATATCATGGCAGTATATGATTTCAACATGTGTTTTACATTTGCATTGGCTGGATGGGAGGGCAGCGCACATGATAGTAGAATTTTTAAAATTGCAACGAGAAATCTGGAGTACAATTTTCCTCACCCACCGCATGGTTAGTTCCTTACTAATACAAGTAGATTTTTGTTTTGTATGCTCACCTAAAGTTTATAAGTTTTTAGGGAAGTATTATTTGGTGGATGCTGGCTACCCAATGCAGAGGGGGTACCTTAAACCTTATCCTGACACAACGTATCATATTCCAGATTTTCAGAGAGCCAGCAATCATACAAGAAATAGAAAAGAGGTCTTTAATAAAAGACATTCATCCTTGCGAGGCGTAATTGAGAGGACTTTCCGAGTTTGGAAGAAAAAATGGGTCATACTTCGAGATATGCCACCTTATTTCCGAAACAGGTGCGTGCATATAGTGTTAGCCACTATGGCCCTTAATAACTATATTAGGCGGCATCCAACTCGAGCTGATGTTGATTTCGAGTGTGTCGAGGTCAATGACGAGGAAGTGCCAGTCGAAGCTTTTGAATACCACATTGACCAATCTCTATCACGGAAGGAGAATGATAATGCCTCAATTTGCATGAAAGATGGGGAGGGTGCGAATGAAATGGCAGCCCTTCGTGAGGAGATCACCACCTCATTAGTTGGAGAGTGATTATTTGGATTCATATCTGCCATAAACACAATATGATTTAATCTAATGTTTGTTTTCAAACAAATATTTCAATTTTAATGAGCTCTTTTTTCATTACCTATATGTTACTAATTATGTTTTATGTTGCATTGCTTTCAGGATAATATGAGTTCAAGGATGTCTGCTACCTCCCGACGAGTGGTTTGTCATTGTGGCCTGCAAACCCCACTTGTTACCTCACGGCAGGCACACAGCTACAGTAGGAAGTTTTATACATGCCCCCAGAAGAATTGCGGATCAATGCAAATTTTTCCGATGGGCGGACAGTTTCTCTGATGCTAAGGATGATGTTGGTGGCGATTTGCGAGTTTCAGATGACAAAGGGCAGACACGGGAGCTACAGTGTGTCATTGTTAGAAACAACATTATCATTATGCTACTCGTCGTGGTTGGAGGTTTACAGTTTTTTTTTATTCTTTTTTTTTTTTCTTGTGGGTTAATTGTCTTTT